CCACGTGTAAATGGTGCATAAAACATTCAAACGTTCTGTATTCTTTTAGACAAACTGATGACACTGTATTTTTATGCACTATGTATTATAATGATATTTAACGAGTTCATTTGCCCTGTCTTTTTTGCGTTTTTTTGGTAAAACGCAGAGCTCGTCACTGTCCCTTTTTACACAGCCGTCCAATCACAGTGGAGGAGGGGCGGAACAAACATTACATTGACCAACCATCATACTTGTACAACACAACAATGGAGAAGTTAATATTGCTGGTTACTGCATTTTTATATTCAGTAATATTCTTCAAAATAAGATACTCGTAACATGTTACTGCCGTGAATATTCCAAATCATAGCAAACAACGCGTCACTCCAGAAAAATGCAGTGCCTCCAAAGCTCTGTCAAGCACCAGCAGCTGGTCGTTTTCAGACGAGCACCAGGCATTATGTCATCTGGCTAAAAACGCTCTGGTGGACACACGTTCATTTTTTCATTTATTGTTAGGCATATAGCCTATTAGTCTCTTATGCATTTGTGCAATATAACTCGCCAAACCTGAGAATAACGTAATTTGCGTAGCTGTAATTCATAGGCGGGGAATATGCTAATTGTGAATGAGCGTGCATGCGCTCTATGCGCCTATTTACGAATGATTGGAATTCACTAACATACACACATTTAACTATCAAATCTGACCTTTACGAAGTTTTTGTGAATCCGGAGGAGAGTTTTCGGGACGGTCCGTTTTAAGCGTAAATTTACTCATATATTTACGAATGTCTCATGAATGAGGCCCAATGTTTGCAATAATACATCTTTTTAATGGCTGTTGTGTTTGGGCAGTTCAGACTGTTCACATATATTGGTAATGCAATAAATGATGCTCCACAAAAGCTGCTCATTGTTAGTTGGTTCGTCTTTAAACAGGAAAGTCTGCCACAGCAGACAAAAATAACTTCCACCTCATAATAAACTGCCCACATAAACACAGTTCTTACAGTTGTGCTTTGAATAATTACTCACAGCATAATCAGTAATTATTGCACTTAGTTCTTTATTTTCGTAACATCCAGTCTAATGTAACTGCATGTCTTATTTACTTTTTATTTTTTTAATGCATCTGTTCAAAAAGTGCTTTTTATGAATGAATAATGTTAAAATAAACATGAACTGAAATGCATATTTTGGTCCTTTTTTTGTTCCCAGGCCCATGTTTGAGGATGATATCCCATCAGTGATGGAGCTGGAAATGGAAGACCTAGAAAATTGGATAGCAAAAGGTAACCACTAAAACGTTTATTAGGAATCTTCTGACTCTGAGTCACAGTTCATATCTGGGCCTCGGTGTGTCTCAGATATTGCACATTTATATTGAGTAATCCAAACCACAGGTGCTGGAAAGAATTACAGTCTGGTCTAAAATATACATCATGAGCTCAAAAAATATTTAGGCCTATATTTAAGATTTAGATACTTAAATTGCATATCCATCCATTTGGATTACGTTCATAAACTTAATCTGATGCAAATTTGCTAGTTATACATAAATGACACAGGTAAGAAACAGGTCAGATTTCTGTACTCAAAATTTATTAAAATTGCTTAGAAACAGCATAAATCTGTTCACTGGTCACCCGATTTTTTTCGGGTAATGAAGATGGCTAAAATGGCTAGCAGTGGAAAAAACATTTATTGATGTACTATTGACAAATATGCATCATATGAAGTTAAAATTAGTTTATGTTAAAACTGTGCAATCCAAATGGATAAACATTTTATATGCAAATCAAATACATAAATCGTTAATTTAGACCTAAATAAATTTACATATATATGAAGAGTTTATTTGCAAAAACAGATAACTCCGTTTTTATTTTATTTTCAAAAATCATGTTTTTTTATTAGGTTATCATGTTTTTATTGTGTTTTATTGTGTTAGCTGTATTTTTTAGTTATTTCTTAACCTTATCAAAATTACCCAACTGCAGTTTGATTGAGATTAATTGGAATGCACAATGAAAAAACATGATTTTTTAAAATTGTTATTAGACAGAGAGTTATCTGTTTTTGCAAATTAACTCTTCATATGCTCTCATAATATTTTGCTCAGAAAGCAACATTAGGCAGGTAAATTAGCTCGGTGAAGTTGGCACCCCATAAAAATAAATAATCATCAAAACTATGGCATTCGTTTGTGCTACATTTGTGCTGATTTGTGCCGCAAAAACGAACATTTGTGCTGGTTTGGTGTTTGAGATATTAAACATTATTTTTTGACCGTGTGACGTCACTCTCCACCCCATGTTGCCAAAATCGCTCCAAACCAGCGCAGTTCGTTTGTGCTCGATTTGTGCCCGTTTGTGCCGTTAAAACAAACACTACATCTATTTTCCTTCCTTAGATATAACCAAAATTATTCATCACTCTCCACCCCATGCAATCTAAATCGTTCCAAAATGGTGCCATTCGTTTGTGCTTGATTTGTGCTGGTTTGTGCCGTTCAAATACAAAACGGGTCAGTGACGTCACTCTCCACTCCATGCTGTCCAAATCCCTCCAAACCGGTGCCGTTCGTTTGTGCTCGATCTGTGCTGATTTGTGCCGTTAAAAGAAACAATGTAACCATGACCTCTTCTTAAATATAACGGGAACTTTACTCTCCACCCCGTTTAGCGCGGCCGCAGAGTTAAAAAAAATAGTGTTTGTGCTGCCTTAGAATTTCAAGCGTAGTCAGC